GCAGGCAATTCCTAAAGGGAAAGGGCAGGAGGAGGAGTAAAACAACAAGCTCTTTGGCTTGTCTAAGATTTTTCCAAGCCATGGTCATCTTCTCACACTATGAAAACCCAGACATTTCTCTGAAAACAGAGGGAAATTATAATGTCATCAGAACTAAGAAAACTAGGCAATGGAACCCAAATATAAACAATTATTAATAAACTCTAACCTTCAAAGGAAGCTACCAAGTAATTAATCAGCTACAGAACTGTGCTGTCACCCTTCCGGGATATTAAAACATGTAACGCTGATGTGATTGAAACCAAAAAGCAGCAAGCAGTTCTGAAGGTAGTTTCTAGGCTGCTGAGACCAATAATTCCAAAAGTTGATTTCTGATCATAAAGGCTTATACATCTTACAGTCATTATGCAAAGCCATTTGTTATGATTTTCCTATAGCAGGGGTCATTGGTAGGACGAGGTGAATCTAATAAATAAAAAGTCAGTTTGAAAAGACAGGAACACTTAGAGAGATGGAAAATACTGGCTACTCGGAGATTTACAGGATCAGGACCATATACACAGTGTTAATGTCAGCATGTTTCTTACCTTATTTTTTCTTTTATGAATGACAAGGGGGAAAACAAACAAAATCAGAACAATTCAGCAGGGGAATCTAATAATTATCTTACATGATAACCTCTCCCTGCAGTGGATGATGTACTCACTTTGGCAGCACTTATGACTGTGGCAGTATAAGACTGAATGTTGTCTCCACAGGCTCCACCACGGGACTGATGGCATCGGATCAGCTACAAGAAGAAAGACAGTAACCAAGTAACTACTATTAAGCTACACAAACCCATAACCCATTACCATAGCTCTTATTTATCATGTGTAGTGGTGTGTTTTTTCCTACAAATAGCAAAAAGCCCTGCTGAGACACTTAACCCCTTTTTATAATCTTCTGGGTGCCACCCAGACTGTCGCATACTGAACTCCAGTTTTCAATTACAAGATGAGTAGTCACTAAGAATTCATAAACTTTGAAATGGTGGGATTTTTGGTCTGGCAGCACTACCACAAATAAATTTAAATAAATATAATCAAAAGCTTTAGCCATGTATATGTAACATTAAATATCTGACATTCGAAGAATTTGAATGTGGCTTTCCCCTCCTTTTTATGACTAGCAAGCAAAGAAATGACAAAGGAAAAGAGCTACTTTAAACTTTAATAGAGGAGAGGAATGTACATGGGGTTTGCTTTATATTGCCTTCCTTCAAAAGTAATAAATCACAACAAGACTTTTCTACCTGCCATCAACCCACAAAAGCAGCTCTTGCCTTTGAACCTGACTAACAAGAAATAGGAAGTTGTGCTTCTCACTAAATAAAACGGTGAAACAACTATGGATATTTATTGCTGGTGCACGCAGTATGTAGCCTGTACCATTCTTGCTAAAACTTAAAAAAAAATTAAAATCACTGTAATATGTACTTCTGCTGATACTCCTTTTCTGCTTATGCTAAAAATTGCTGAACAGTTATATCAGGGAGAAAGAAGCCCACAGTGAATGCACCCAGGAATACACAAGTAATTTAAATTTCTTTCTGAAGCAGTTGCTTATTTTGGGCAGTACTTCTTAAATGCCCACTTGGCTGGGAAGTTTCACCAGCTCATCTAGGGGTGGCAGTAACAGGAGAGGCTTTTAAGGCAGTTTTCCAACCTGGGAAGAGAATTGCTGGGTTAGGTCAAACAAACCCATGGCCACCTCCTGACTCAGTTTCCCTCAAATCGAATTTAAGACTCCTCACTTGCTGACATTTCAGATGTTTCTATAAGGAAATGTTTCAAACATTTTAAATGTAAAATGAGTTAACTGTTGAGTGACCTCACAAACACATGTAGATACCTTTTTTCCACCCATACTACTCACATCTTCATGCCCCGCAAGTTCAAGAGCCTGGCTCAACGTGCAGAGTAAAAATGATGCACACAAAGACCAAACATTACTAACGTGCAGCTAAGATTAGGTCTATCACAGCTAACGAAGTCCTCTTGCAGATTACACTTTTCATACAGCTTTTGCATGTAAAGAATTAGTCGAGCCCTTCCTTACCTTATTTTCTGCATAAGCAAGCCAGCGGCTTCCAAGAGCAATAGGGTTCATGTTAGGCCCTGGACAAGGATAGCAGCCTGAAAAGTTTTGTAAAAAATAGCATTAAAAAAAAATCTTAATGACTTCTCAAAGAATTTTACTTATTGCCAAGAAAACAAAAAAATCTAAACAAAGGCCTTTCATTTGCTAATATCACTCAGTAAATGCTTGCATTTTTGTACCTAAAGATAAGGCTGCGGTTAGATGAGCTATTTTGAACAGTTTAATTACGTGTAAATAGTAGTTTCTCCTTATGCTTGCATTTTTTAATGCTGTTTTGATACAGTGGGCCGAGGACATTTTAAAAGTGTCTCAATTGCTTTTATATCTTCACATTTTACTTATTTTTACTGAAGTATTGCTGTTGATCGAACAGTTTCAGTTCAATACAAGCCCTGCTGTTTTTCTGTGGTGTCAAAGGCTGTTGTGCTTGTGCTTTTGTTTCTAGTAATTCTGCACAGAAGCCCCCAGCCGCCCAGACTTCTGGGCATGCTTAGCATTAGTTACAGAAATCTTCATTCCCTTAAAATCAGCAGCAACCTGAATAAATCTACTTATGAGGCAAGGCCTAATTCCTTTCTGATATGCAAATATTAAAAAGTAAATATTGCACAGGTGCAGGTATCAGACAAATAGTCCGTCTCCGCTCTCCTCAGTTCTGGAGCTGCAGCTGAACATGGACAATTGGGCAGGTCCTGGTCTTTCTCCCTGGCCGAGCAGGGCCCCGGGCAGGATCCAGCCCTGGCGCAGCCGCGGCCGCGCTCGTGGCACCCAGCGGAGCCCGGGGCAGCCGTGGTGCCAGCTTAGCACAAACGGGGCTTTATTTCATTTGCTGGAGCAGAGGAGGGAAGGCACAAAAGTCAGAAGACCACAGCAAGCTGTTTCGAAGGTCACAGAGCAGTGCAAGGGAAAAAAAAAAAAATAGTAGTAATTCATCCAATTAAATCCCTCTCAGGCCAGGAAAGCAAAACCAAAAGAATATTTTGTAAGGCCTTATCACCGCCTTGATCTCAGGAAGGAAAATGAATTCTGAAGAGATGATGCCACAACTGTTATTACATTCCAGCACTGTATAAAATGTGGGTAGCCAGAGCCTCTTAAGGAACAAAGAAAGCAAAGAAAGGTTGCAAAGACAACCCTAGGTTGTAAATACAAGCATGTTCTTCCGATGACATTATGGATCTGGACCAGTCAGGATTTAATGCTGACTTCTGCTTCAGCAATCCTTATCTGGCTCTGCAGAGACATGCAGCTCCCCCACAAGCACCATTTATTTTTCTCCCCTTTAGGTACAGAAGATACCAATAAAAGCTGCCGGATGATAACGCTCCTCTAAATCCTCCCAGTTACTGCACAATTTGCCACTCACATTTCCGCTCCTGCATCCCTGCCTTGCAATCCCCCTCCTACAAAAACAGGAGCAGCAGCCACACACACGCTGCAAGGCAAAACCCCTGCACTCCTACAGCTCCTCACAAAAAGTGGCTCAGAAAAGGGAGCTGTTATAAAATAATTTCAATAACCCAATGGGAATGAAGAAGTACAAAAAAGAGAATAAATCCTGCCAAGTTCTCTCTGAAAAGCTGCAGTTTTTCAAACCACGCTGGGTAGTTTGCTCCACAAATTGCATTTGAGCAGTCGGGCCCGGCCCCTCTCTGGAGCAGCCGGTTCTAGCAACAGCCTCCGCAGAGGTCAACAGCCCGACTCGGAGCTCAGCGCTGCTCACAGAGAGAAAAAGCACGTAAAAAAGGGCCATTTCCTCCCTTTCTTTTAATTGTGCATATACACATTTTCAAAACTTGCAGCAGCACAAGGATAAACAAGGGGTTATATTTTATGGAAGGGAAAAGCAAATTGTTTTTCTGCTTTCCAAAAAAAACAGCTGGAGTCAGCAGAACATCATCTACTAAGCAAATGAAGAGACAGACACAGCGTGACCTATCGAGCTCAGATATCCAATCATTACAAGCCTAACTCTCTTAAAGATTAACTTCTATTTCTACTAAACTTCAAAACAACTGAGGAAAAAATCCATTCTAAGCAACAACAGCGGCAATTTTAGCATGTTTACAATAGGAATGAACATAATGAGAACACAGAATGAACTGTCAAGACGACCAAAGTTTCCAAGTTTTAATGACGGTATGGAGAGGTCATCCAAGAAGAGCTCACGCAGGGAAAGTCCTTCCAAAAGGACAGCAAATCAAGCAGACACTGAACAACAGGAGACCCTGTAACAAGCTTTACTGGGACTATCACCCCCACACAAAAAAGGTGAAAAACCTGTCACGAACTATTTAAAATGCTTTTAAAGACAAAATTACTGCAATTTTGCTTCTTAAATGAAGACCATTTTAGAAAGTTGTTTATTTCTGTCCTTAAGTCAGTTAAGTACAAAAACCTGCCTGCCTTTCCCAGAATCTCCCTCGTCTCCTCTGCACTGATATTCACTTTTCTGGTATCTCTTCTATGGCTTAGTCTCATCGTTACTGTAATTTTTTTTTTTTAATGGCTATTCCATGGGCAGTGCCCACTAGTGCTGCCCCACTGCCTCTGTCGAGCGCGAGGAACCCAACGCTGGGAGAGGACACAGCCAGCAAAGCCCCAAGAGCCCGGCCAAGGCGCCCCAGGATAAGGGGCGCCCTAGAGAAAGGGGTTGGCAAGGCAGGAGCTGCTGCGCCTGCTCCTCCAGACGGAGCCGAGTAACCGAAACCTGCTAAGAACAGAGTCCTGGATAAGCAGAGACTTTTGGGGTTCATTTTAATGAAGCCCTTCACATAAGTGGAACATGCCACTTCAAATACCATTTCCAAACTTTCTTCTGAATGAGTTCCAAAATGCCGAATTTGATGTAAATTATTTGCTTTTGATCATTCAAAGCATTTGTCACTTACTATATTATTATTTTCAAAATCCACAAAGCAAAGTTAATGTCTATTCTTAAACAGATGTAGTTTGGAAGCAATAGTTTTCTCCTAGGCCTTATGGAATATATAGCACTCTATAGAAAATTATTTTGTAATTTCTATTAATACTACTAAGATTGTATTTCAAGGCAGCCAGGAAAGACCCACAATAAAGAGCATAGAAAGGGTATTTAAAATAAATAATGGATAGAGTGACACTGTTGTTGCAGCAGCATTGTTTATTTCCAAGCAAACAGATCATATAAGTTGCTTTATCTAATATTTCTTGTTTGTTTGGGTGTTAATTTTTAGCATCACCAAGCAAACCAAATTTATTTGTTTATAAATTGTATAAAGTAACACTGTTTATAAATTCCTTCCAGATGAAAGGCCCCATGTAAATGCTACTACTTTCACAGCCCCATACTTCCCCGAACTCTATTGTTCCTATACTTCCTTCTCCTTAAGTATTGCCCATAAAAACCTGAGCAGAAGAGCAAAGCAGCAGGATGCACCTTACTGCAAAACCACATTGGCCACCTGGGGTTTCCCCTCATCACCCGCCCCAATCCTTGAGGGACTTTCATTGCCAAAAGCCAAAAAATTCCAGAAATGAAGTGAAAAGCTAAGTCCACAAGTGCTGCACGTACCAGCATGGGCGCTCCTGGCAGGGCGCTCCGAGCGCGGCGACAGGCAGGAGCGAGGACGGCCCTCGGGATGCGGGAGATGCCTCCTCGCATGGGCTCCAGGCAGCAGTTTTTTGGTACATACTTAATGTCTACGGAAACCTCCTTTGCCTCGTGATTTCCTCATGGTAGGACATGTTTTTGGAGGATTTTATTGTTACTGCTTCAGCCCGAGAGCAGTGCCAGAGCATTTACCATAGACAACTGGGGCCTTTAATGCTTGTTAAGCTTGGTTGATCAATTAAACACGAATTTGACTGATTTCAGGACAAGCTATGCTTTCATCTTGAGGCTTATTTCTTCTTACAATCTCAGACAATTGGACAGTGACAAATAATAACATTGCTATAGAGGTTACTGTTCCTGTGCAGGACAACGTGAATAAGCTGGCTTTGGTTTGGGCCTTTAACATTTAGGGTTAGCTTTTTTTTTAAAAAAAAAAAAAAAAAAAAAAGCAACTTAGGCCAAAAGTAAACAGCAGAAATTGCTGTTTAATTCTAAAAATTTGTCAAAAATGGGACATAAGGATATCCATCTTGGATGTGAATGTCTGATTTCTGTCTTTATGCACTTTTTCTGTGATACGTATACTTTCCTGAAATATAATAAAACACTCTGTAAGCAAAGACATCAGTTTCCACACAACATTGCTAGGAAGCAAAAGGATGAGGTCTGCGTTTCCCACAGACGCGGTTCCCGGGTACCTGAAGCCCTCCTCCTTTTTCCACGTTCGCGTTCCCGGCGCAGGCGCCGTGGGCAGCGCGCGGCTCCTCGGGGCTGGGCACGAGTCACCCGACACAAGGGCTCTCCCCCACCTGCATTAACTCGCAGCCTGCAGGAGTCTCTCCCTCCACGGCCGCAGGAATCCTGGCAGTTATTGCACCCTGCGGGACAGCCGGGATAAACGGCACGCACGGAGCACAGCGGGGAAGGGAAACGCGCGTTCTCCAAGAAGCTCCGCTTCGAGCTCCGGGGGCACTAAACTTCTCACGAGACGTCGAGAGTTTTTACTTCAAGGCCAAGAGATCAAGCCGCTCACTTGATGTACATGAGGGAAAAGGCACCCCAGCAAAGCTAACAGAAACGCCCAGAAAGGCACGGATGATTTCCAGATCAGACCCGTGACAGACCAAAACCCACGTTCAGCATCTTGTACACGAGTATCGGGGCAGACAGGGCTACAACAGCCCAATTACAGATTAGAGAGTCAAACGCTGTTCTTTTTATTCTTTTGGAAGGTGCAGCGGGGTGCATTTAATATATACTGAATAATTTTTGGCATGTGGTTAGGCAAAAGTCTTTTGAGACTTTATATACAATAAAGTACTCTCACTAAAATCTGGAAAATTACCTCTCAAGGCTCTAGCTGTAGAGCATCAATAGAAATGTGGTGCCAGCTAATGGCTGCAATAACTGTCTTCATCCCTAGAGAATAATGGATGGAGAATATATCAATACGAGAAGTGGAAGGGCCAGGGAAGCCGAGCAGGCACCAGCTATCGGACACAAAGATGATGCCACATGCATGATGTTATCTGTGATAATCTTTACTTAGGGCCTTGGGGGTGGGAAGGGTATTCTTTATAGGGAAGAAAGTGTCCATCAGGCCATATTCATAACCATCAATGTTCACTAAGCAAGCATTTTTGGAGAACGGTTCTGGGAGCCCTGATGGAATAGAAATCAATGAAATCCAGCTTTTCTGCATCTGTTCTTTACAGAGCAAAGCAGGAAAAAGAGCCTGTACATCACTAAGATTTGATCTTCCAGTTATTTACAGTATTAAGAAAACAAGGTCTGAAGGAAATCTTAAATTAACCAGAGCAAAACTCTTCAGCATTTAACCATCTACACATTGACTTTCATAGCTACCAAAATATCTTTACTGTAAGTTCCAAGTAAATTCGTCGGGCTTGGCCACACCAGCACTTCCAAGAGCAAATTCAGAGCCCTCTCTGTGCTGTTTGCCCTTGGTGCGAGTCGGCTCGTCGGGAAGGGGAGCCGGAGGGCAGGGAGAAGGGGCTGCGGTGGGACGGGGCTCCCCATGGAGCTGCTGCTGCATCAGCACCTCGCAGGCCACGCTGCCACGTGCACAGGGGGGACACGGCCACGTGGTTTTGCTGCGAGTACCCGCACTACGTTTGCTGGGCTGAAACACCTGCCAAATCCGCACACCAAGGCTGCAGCACCCGTGCCATGAGGCTCTGTTAACAAGGACCAAGCAAAAGGTGCCGGCGCGCTGCCACTCAAGCCAAATCCGCACATTTCCATCTCCTTGCAGGAAGGACCCCTCTCCCTCCTACTAGCTCCAATTTGCACTAAAAAAGATTAAAAAAGACAGGAAATGCAAGAGTTAAGCATTCCAACAGCAGCACAAACTTGACCATGCTCTACATCCTGAATATTTTATGGTATATTTATTACAACAATATATTAAGCTACACATTCAACCACAAAAACAAAAACAGAAAGACAAATACAACTCATGTGTAACACAGCTGCATTAGCATTGCTGAGGAACACCAAACTTCAGAACGCCTAACACTGCTTTTAATTGCATCTTCTGCATTTAATTTCCATGTATGAACAGTCAACAAAATGGACAAGTGCTTCTGCTTAATTATGTCTGCATTTAAGCAGATTCTCTGCGAGGCTCCAAATCTTACACTCCACTAAGTAGATACAGATGGGAGATGCGATTTCCCATATCGTCACCACGTCTTTTTCCAAAGCCTGCCTTTCTCCTCTTTTTCCAACCATTTACTCTGGTCACAGAAGTGTCTTCAAAGCACTAGTGATCCCAACTTCCTATTTTCTGCCCTCTATGCCATCGCTTCCCACCAAAAGCAGTTCAGCATCAGAGCTGAGAATCTTCTTCAGGAACAAGCTGCCTTTACTGAACACTAGCAGATTCTTAGGTACCTTATGTCCATGTATAGGAAGAAACTGACACCTATTGGCAACTTTAATATTACTGCATAATCGTGCCTTCCTTCCAAGCACTGCAAGGAATCCTTCTGATAATTAGCCTAAAAGCAAGCTAATATAGAAAGATATTTACAACTTTTTATAATCGGGACTGAGAAAGCACTCCGGAAGTTTCACCTTTTCCTTTTAAACAATAAAGCTCCAATAGTTCTGGAGTTTTTAATCTCTCAGTAATCTTAGGATTGTCAGAGGATACCCCAACAAGTGAACGCTTGTGATGTTCATCAACCGTTTGGAGAGATTACATGCTCGTTTTTCTGGAGCTAATTTCCTGGCAGTCTGCATTACAGCACACACAGTTCTAGGAGCAGATAAACTGCACCTTAATCCCACTCCTCCAGCAACAAGTCAGAGCAAAAGCAGTAGCAAACAACCATCTTTAAGTGACGTGTAAATCACCGCAGCAGAGGAAGAGCTTTAGGAGAGCAGCTTATCTGCTGCCATCAAGCAAGGAGGAAAGAAGGGGAGTCACCAGCCAGCAGCACCTACACACAAATACCTCTTCTGCTGCCCTAACACACCCGAGACCTGCTCGAGTTTTGGGGCCTGCGGAACTAGGGAGAAGAACAAGCACATGTGGGACTAAGGAGCAACAGCCAAGTGCACAGACCACTGTCAATCTGCTTTCAAAGTGCTGGTTATGCTAACAAGCCCAACCTTAGAGTACAGTCTTTTTATTTCTGAAAAATAAAATATTTGAAATACCTAGATGCCAGTATAAGTAGTGTTGTTCATAGTAAACAAGAAATGAGCTACGTCAGCAAGAGATGTGCAGAAAGTGGCACAGAAACCAGGTTTTTGTTTTTGTTGTGTTAAGCAAGACATTCCCTGAGACTCCAAATGAAGTCATGAAGATGTGTAGATGCTTTGAGGATACGAAAAGTCAAATACCACCGGCTGCCTCATCTCTAGCATGTAACTTCGCTGTGCTGACACTGGAAAAATATCCGTTTTACGTCACTGCAGCTACTCACCGGAGCAGAAAGAGTGAACACAACATTATACATACTTGTAACAAAGAATTTTTTGGTGAAAGTACAGCTGTCAAAGGCGGCGATCTTCTCTTGCAAGACTACAACAAGTATCCTGAAAACACAGAAAAGGAATACGTACTTTAAACATTAAATGCATTGGTTTAAAGATTCAATATCTAAATGTAATTATTTCAAAAGCATCAATATAAATTCTAGGGTGATAAACTGCCAGGTTACCAATACACGGCAGTTATTGGGGATTCTCTCTCATGCCAGCCACATAACCTGCACTTCAGGAAGTGCACAGATCTGATACAGAACAACACAGCATATTTATGATCTACCTCCTGCAGTAAAAGCTCCATTAAAAAGAAAGGGAATGGAGCTGCAAGGATCCTCAATTGCTTTCAATGACTCAAATAACAATCAAATCAACAACTGGTAGAACACCAGCTAAATTTGAAATAATCCTATTGCCGATCTCGTTGCAAATTTAGTAAATAAGAAACTGCTGGTTTAATAAGAGCAGCACATTGGCATAGAAATAAGGTTGAGAGAAACAGGATTTGTATCAATTAGTGGGAGTCACAGGTGCATGTTTATGCACTCACACACATGCACAACCTTACTATAAAATATCTGTTCATTATCTCAACAGTGATGGTCATCTCCCAGCAGTGTAAAAGTCAACTATAAATCTTGCCCTTCGTTTCCTTCTTTTCCCTTTATTTTCACCTATTTAGCCACAAGAAAACCTCTTTCTTATACCATTAAAGCTTAATGCATGTAAAAGGCTTTGGTGATGAAATATCCTAAAAAAAACAACCTTAGCCACATACTTGCTGGTATTTTCAGGTAATATAAATAATTTGAGTTATGATTTCCCTCTAGAAAAGTTATATTAATACTCCTCCAATATATGTGATTTTTCTTTGCATCCACTTTTTTTGTTTGTTTTTAAGTCACAGTCTCTTTGAATTGCTCAAGTTTAAGGAGAGAAAAACAAACAAACAAAAAGGAATCTATCAATTCTAAGCAACTTCCTCCAGAATGCACAAAAAATAACGTATGAATAATGGGAAGATTTTAGATGCATGTAGAAGTATAATGCATGTACAGAAAACTTCAGCATATTTTTTAATATGGACTGTTTTTCTGCACAAATAAAAACCTACCAGATGATGATTTTGGAGTGTAAATGCATAAATAATAAACACTTCTCCATTCTTCTGCAACTCAAGTTTTATTTTAATTTCAAATGTTGGACTCCATTCATCTATGGTTAACGGACCATTAGCTCTACACTTGGCCATTTAATGCATTTTCAATATGAAACCGTGAGCTTGCCTTGGATAACAACAGAATCTGATACATTCCAGAAAAGCAGCTACCCTGGATACAGCCACACAGCTTTGAAGTAGCTTTTCCATTTTTACCACTTCGGAAAAGAAACATTAGCACCTGGAAAGACTTTCTAGTTGGGAGAGACTTTGAACGATGATTTGCCTTTTGACTGTTTTTGCAATTGGATTTTTCTTCTGCTCGGAGGCTGGGCTGGAAAGATTTACTATCATCACGCTGTACACAAGGGAACTTTAAATTTTGAAAGAGACAGTTGCACAGATCAGTACTGAATCATTCTGGCAGACAGTGACCTCTTGGATGACACACAATTTTCACCAACTCCACTACTTAAGTGAAATTATTTTTTTGATATATGGATCAAACTCACATCCTATACAAATCAGTTTGGGGATAAGAAGAACTATACTCTGCATCTTTAAAGCCTTTAACACAATCAAAATATCTTTGTTATTAAGTTAGCTCTGGTATTAAAGCTGTTTATTCTACAATAATAGTATTCTTCTGTAACTTACACGTGGCTCCTGGTCAAAATCACTACATGAAATTCATCAGAATTATCAAGGCTCATCAATATCCTCATGTACAAGAGGGATTCTGGGTTTTCTGTCCTCTCAAAATACAGTAGAAGATCTTACAGAACAAGGAATATGAGGAAGAGCAACTCTGTAGTCCTAGTGAGACACTGAATTGCACAACCACAACTACCGTATTTAAAAAGCAAAAACCTGTGAGATCCAAGTGAAATCCATCGCAACAGTCTGCTGTCATAAGTCAAACAAGTGCTACTTGAGAAGTGAAGAACCTAAGCTCTGCTTACAGCAAAGTTAAAAGAATAAACTGAACACATACATCACAAGTTATTTGTTAGCAAAATTTTACAGGGAGTAGATTGGACACCCTTACCTTTTATTGCAATGCAGATCATAAATAGGAGTTTTGAACTGTATGGATTTGACCATCTCTCCTGTTCGCAAAGAGTAGAGGTCTACACAACAGTAAGGCGGACTTGTGCTAAAATGAAGAAAGAAACGTAGTTTAAATGTGAAAAAGTAACAAAAATTCACATTTCTGTGGCCACAGAATCATTTTTCATCTCCTTCATACAAAATCATTGAAAAGGAAACAGGAGGAATAAAAAAAAGGACTCATCTTCTATTGTTATTTTTAAGTTAATTTTCAACAGGACAAAACAAGCCTACCCTGCACATTAAATAAGAAATATTCAGCAACACAACAAGAACACTGGAGAACAAGGGGTCAATAGAAGCCTTCTGCATTTACCAAAGGCAGGATTACAGACTGAATTATGATATTTGCAATGGTCAAGAACCTGTTCTGCACAACCATTAATCAAACCTTTACTATTCTTTGTGCCAAAATAAGACTTTGGAGCAGCAGATCTGACCAGCAAACAAATCATTTGACAAGTATGAAGCCTTAGAGTATATTCTAGCATTTTAAAAAAATGCTTTGCAGAGTAACCACTGTTAAAGGAGCACTTACCACACCAAGTTACAGCTGAATCATGACAACGTATTTGATATAGACACATTATTCATAATTAACACTGTATCTTTGATGAACTTTTGTTTGAATTAGAGATCTTTTCAACTGCTTCGTGTCACTTTTATCATCTTAATATAAATAAAGCTCTAAGGCCACTTCTCAACAAAAAGGCATACTGGCTTTGGAGAGGAAGAAAGTGCTGAGTGCTCCGATAGGCCTGAGGAAGGTAGTGGTGAAACCATTTTACAAGCTGAGCAGAGCCTTTGATGTGGCAGCTCTTTTCCATAACACCTTTTTCCCCTCCAAGAACGCATTAAAATGTTGGCTACTTCTAGGTCAAAGAATACGAAGCAGCGCAAGTTGCCAGCTGTACAAACATATACTAAGTATTGCTAAAGGAGGGTGTTTCCCCTTGCCTATATCTGCTTTATTTTATAGAGTCTAACACAATTCCTGCCGCAACACTTGCTTGTCTTGCGGATCAGCTCAAGCTGTTCAGGAATTTTCAGGAAAACCAGAGTACAGCTGCCAACTGTTTATCGCAAATGTCTCCCCATGCTAAACTGGTTTACACAGCATGTACACAGCAGGAAAACAATATACAATAGATGCACAGAAAGACACTCAAAGCAATAATAGAAAAAATACGTTGGACATTCTGCCTACAGAAACTCTTCCCAAAATATACATTTTTATAGGCACATACTGAGGCTAATAACTAGAGGGTGCTATTTATTATTTTAAGCACTTCAAAGGCCCTTCAAAAAGCACTTTAACAGCAGAGAGATTCAAGCCCAGTTACCTTACATTAGCAGCTCATTGCTGCTAGAAAATGCACAAAGCCACAGAACGGTCAATCTATAAACTTCTTTTGATAATATGTATTTATTACCTAAAAGGAATTATGATTTTCATAGATGGCTACAACGCCTTCTTATTTCAGAACAGAAATCACAAAAGCCAACGTTATATTAGCATATATGGAAATAGCAACAGTATCAGCTAAGGCTACATTGAAGATAACGGTGCCGTGTCGTGGTTTGACCTGTTGGAGTCGATGTTCACGCAGCCTCACGGCTGATCTCAACACTAAGGATGTGAAGAGCAACAAATTACAAGTCAGGCTCAGGCCAAACGATGCCTTCTGGAGGGAGAGGCTGGCAGAAATAAATGCGATTACGAACAAGGAAAATTCAGTGTCCCTGCAGAGACTATTTTAGCTTCTCCTACGTACCACACCAACAGAATCCCACTTCTTGCAACTCAAGTGAATAATTTATTGCAATCAGCCAAAACAGTATTATGCATACAAGAACATTCTATCAATGATTTTGTAAGCAGCACTGGCTAAACACAGATAATTTTTAACTCCAGTGCTAATAATCAAGCAGTATCATGGAGTGGGTCAAAACTGCTTGTTTCATTTCCAAGTCCTCCCTCTACATCCTTTCTTTGCAGGTCGTGGGACATGGCAGCCTATGATCAGAGAGGGATATGCCAGTTATGTATCAGTGAAACCAAGCAGAGGACACGTGCACTTTCGGGACGTTATTAAACTAGCTTCTTAATGCAGAGCTATCAGCTGAAGTTTTAAACATCACAGGCACAAATTCAAACTACTACACAACACTGACATTTGTAAATATGAACTATACAATAAGACTGAGGCTCTTGCATCTTTTTTCATTTGATTGTTGCAATAGGGATAGAAGAAAAAAGAACAGATGCCTCGTGCAGCTGGCATTCAAATACATCTGCGTACGCATCGTGAGCAAACTACCGTCTCTTCAGAGTTGTTAGCAAACACTCTCCCAAATTATGGAGGCTCCGTGTAAAACGTTCGCATACAGAAACAAACTCCACAAAACATACACTTTTTATATCAAAAAAGACTAATGTAATCAACGTGAGGTCATTATTTTCTGTGAGAAAACAACCATGAGAAAAGTCAAACTTTCCACACAGCAGTTCTGCTTATCCAGGAACCTCTCTCTCGCTGAGGCCAGGCTCTGATGCTCTACAGAATGGCAAGAAAAGTGAAACAAAACTGGAGCACACAACTGATTATATATTGGGGAAAAAACAACTAACCTGAGCCTTAACACTGAAAGCTGAAGCATGAGATTTATGATCTTTCTCGTAATATTATTAACACTGATACCTGCTAATAGGCAATTTTGTTTTTCACAAGGCTGCTGTTTGGATCAAGGATCAGCTTCTCTTTCCAGGTCAGGCACCTTCTAGAAGCTTAACTTTTGTTTTCTTTGATTGTTTTAATAACTCAGGCACCCTAACCTTGTCTTATGGACTTCAAGCAACAAGGAGTTCTCTATCATATGCTGCTCCAACATTTAGAGGATCTCAAATACATGCCTTATGTCAAAAACAAATTTCTACACATTCTGCTTTTAACCATCATCTCTTACTATCATGTCTGTGTTAAGAGCACAGAAAAACTCACTGCATTCAGTTATCTTTTCCACATGCCAGTATGCGCCCCAACCAAGTCCTCATCCACAATAAAATGGAAGTTAGAATTCCAAGTCTTACACCAGACAGTTTGTTTTCCAGGCCCAGAACACACTGACAGGCCTACTGCAAACTCTCCTCAGTACTGCAATATTCTCAATTCTTTTTTCCTGAAGAACACACACCAAAATGAAAACTCTGCTCACAGGATGAATAACTCTCTGTAAAGAAAACAAAATCATTTGTTTCTTGTCCCTCCCTCCTCATTTTTAGAAGAAATCCCAGGACTGCATTAGTTTTTCATAGAACACCAATGTAGAGCCTGTTACACTACAACTTTCCACTAGTTAGTCTGCTAAACCTCCCTGGCCTTGTGAGTCGCAGCTTTCCAAAGTGTGAGCTTGAAAACTGAACTTTATAGGCAACTTGGTTACTTTCACTCATGAATATTTAACGGGTTCATTCAAAAAAAAAAATCAAGAAAAGCAGGGTAACATTTCTGAGAAAGCGACACTTCCTAAAAACGTGTGCGTAACTCAAGCAGCAGAGACATTTTAAGTGGACCACAAATTGCAAGAAGCATTGAAATGCTTCTTTTTAAATAAGAAAAAGCTACACTAGTCTTAGACATATGTTACTAAATCTAATCCCCTAAACACACAAAAAAGGAAATTTGATATAGCATTAAGATATTTCTGTTAAATAGCAGATGATACGAATTTCACTCTCGCATCTCAAGAAGGTCAAAATAATACCTACAGTGGCAATCCCTTATCTTCCAAGGCTCATTTGAAAGAACATCTAAATAAGCTTCTTGCAAATCAAATGAGTTGTCTTATATTTCCAGGTCTATCCTCATGTATAATTATTGTTTGCAAGTGTTAAGTGTTCCACCTTGTCCTGTTCTATCCTTGTACACAGTTTCCTTTTCAAAAGCAAACTCTTATCTCTCTCAGATTGTACCCGATATACTCTTCAGTGCAGGCAGAAAAGGACTTCTCCTGTCTTCTGCGTTACTAAGAGCGTGTAACATTTCTACAGGCGTGCTTTCTGCCTGTAGCAACATTATTCACACAGATCATGAGAAGAGACTTTATTTACACACATATTTTCGAAACTTAGTCAAAATTACGTAGTTCCATAAAGGCAAACCGCAGCGTACAAGGTACCTGGGTGTCCTGCAGCTCATGGCTCGGTGACATGTGGCACGCCTGCCACTGAAGTGTAAGATATAGCACAAGCTGGCTGTTCAGCTGTGGCAGGCTCTTGCTGCGAGACCGGCGCGCGACACGCTTTCCACTTCACTGAGATATACCACATGTTACAGCACAGAGCTGTCCCTTCATATTTGGGGTTAGTTAATACAGGGAGATAAGCAGCATCCCATGGGATCTGTTTATCTACAAGGCTTCCTTGACCATAGCTGTCATTGAGGAAAAATACATCTGGAGCTTCACTTTTCAGAACAGAAGTGATTTTTCTGGGGTACTCTGGACCAGATTTTGCTCTGGTGTGTAACCAGACAGTCCTTTCTTTCATACAGAAGCTATGAACCTGGTCTTACCAGGCACTGGCTTTCCTTGTTCATTCTATGAATACATGCTTAACTAGGAAAATTTCTGTAATTCTTAAAGAGCATCAAGTTAAACTACTCATAAGAACACGGTTACACAACTGTCACAGCTCTATCAGAAATTAAGATGATGAGCACCATATTCATGACATAGTGTGGTAAATTCGTTTCTAGCAAAAGTTACAAAACTGAATAAATTTAAGGTTTGCCTTGTCCTCCTTTGCCTTACTGTCAAATATGGCAAAAAGAGCATTTTGTGGAGCCGGTTTATAACCCTAGAGTTTAGTCTACCAATGTGCACAAAACTGCAATCAATAGCACCCCCCCCCGCCCTTATATTTTTGACAGTACAGTCTGGTCAATGGCATATTAGAAGCGTTCAGAAGACAGCATGCTCTTGATTAATACAACATAAGTACACTAATTCAAGACATTTGAGGCATTACTTGTTACTTTTAGCAAA